ATTTGCTTTGCCTCTGCCGTGGCCCACCACCTTCGATAGCGCCTGCAGTTGTGCACTGCATCATTATTAATCTGCTAAATATCCAGGCCTAGCGCTAACAACTCCAATAATGACAGGCAATGGTGCCCTAATCCCGTTTATTTCAGATTTTGTTCCAAGAAAGCGCAAACTGTGCGACTGCAAAACAAAGTGTCAAAAATGTGCTCGTGGCTCCCATGTTTTATATATGTGCATACAACAAGACCACAAGATTGAAGGTCAAGCAGTGGACGCTTGACAACGACCAGGATACACTCCATGGCTCGGCCAGAGTCAAATTCCAGGGAAATCCCAATGAGGTGGACTACGGGTTGTACATGTTGGTTCTTCGCAAAGGTCTACTACGACAAAATGAGAACCACGCGACCAATCCGAGAATTGTTGAACCCGCCTTGCCCTACAATAGAACGTGGAAATTCGATGCAATAGCAGGAAGGGGATTCGATTTTTCGAAGATGTATTATGACTCGCCTTTTGCTCTTCGTGTCGAAATCTCGGTGGTGCAAAAAACTGGACAAGAGAAGCAACTCAAGTGAGCTGCAGCCGCATTTCCATCAGGAAAGGCACGAAATGAGAAAGTCTCTATGTTTCAGGGTCTATGACCTCAGATCGTGTGCAGATACTGGAAAATTTATCGCGAACGAAGGTTACTACCAGCTTCACGAATCCGGCGAATGGTGGCCTACCTATTATGACCCTAAGAATAGCTTGATTTACTACTGAATAAAGCGTGTTTGATTGTCTCTCCCAACACACCGTAGCACGACAGACTAACAAACATTGTCGAAGAACCGATCAATCACTTCATTATATAAACCAGAACTTTGGTGTGTCGGTTTGTCGGTGTGTGCGTGTGTCGTTCTGTCCGTCCGGACCAACCGCTCACAAAACCAGGGAGTACGAAGGGCAACACTTCGTGATGTTGATGTCATGATCATGATAACACCCACAGCGGCTATATAAACACCGATCGAGCACACTCAGTCTCATTCTACATGCTGCCGTGGCAGCCGGATGAGCGGGGGGGAGGAGGGGGGGGGGGGAAGGGGGGTAGAGGGAAGGGGGCAAGAAAGGGGGGAGGCTGGAAGGGAGGGGAGAGAGAAAAGAGGGAGGGAAGGGGGAGAGGAGAAAGGGAGGGAGAACATGGCGCTGTCATGCGCCGGAGAGGAGGGTATAGGAGGGGGAGGGGGGAAGGAGAGACTGAGAGAGAACGACCGTTTTTAAGAGTAAGGTCTATATTCATGTTGACGTATTGTCTAACCTGATGTGGTGATTGTGATAACACCACAATGGCTACAAAAACACCGAACGAGCACACTCAGCCTCATTCTACATGATGTTGCCGGGACAGCCGTAGTCGGCGGGCGGTAGAGGAGGGGGGAAAGCAGAAGGGATGCGCCGGAGAGAAGGGGTATAAGGAGGTATAACACATTCAATAGTGAGGTGGTTAATGGAGTACGTCATGCTGCTATTCCGTGGTTCCTCCCTACCCTGTGATGCGCGCGATAGCGGGCGGAGCAAACCTGGTTTGCTAAAAAGAAACAAAGATGGAGCCGCGAGTGGACCGCGGCGCTATCGCAAGATACGGGGGACATTGGGTGGCAATGCGTTATGGGTAACATCTTGTCCAATTGGCCTAATGTTAGTAAAGCGGACAGACATTTCTGAGAGACAGCAGCCAGAGGAAAGGAGAGAGGGCGCTCATGTCCAGAGGGGTCTCAGGACTTCTGTCAACCGTGAGGCTTGGCGGTTCAGCGTTTTGTAGTGATGTCTGGGAGCTCTCACAAGTGCACACTATCACAGCATCCTCTTCTTTATCTTCTTCAAAAGGCTTAGTCCCAATAAGACACAAAGTGTGTGCTTTTCCAGCTACGCTCTCACCCTTTGGTTGAGAAGCCTTGTAACCGTCCTTATGGGAGACATTCAGAACAGAGCATTCAAAAACCGCTGACAGGTGACACTAGGATCAAGCCCAGGATAGTTAATTAGTACTAGGAAGAACAACGATTACTCCTCTACCAGAACCCTCCCCTCCATGACGTTGGTCTCGAGTTCTATGAGTGGTACACTCACATCAATGTCCCCCCCCCCTCCTAAGGACATGGGCGCCGAAGAGAGCATGGGTAAAAGCAGCAGCAAACATGGTGTGAGACGTATGTGGAGCGTCGTTGAGCCATGATGACAGGATCAAACGCATTTTCCCAAACATTTTCAACCCTCAACACCTTTAGGGGGGTCTCAATGCCACTCCCACCACCACCGTCGGCCTTGGGAACGCCCCCAGTATGACATCCCAGCTCCCTACCACGATCACCACTGTCATGGCTGTTTCTATAGCATTTGATTATGAGACTAGTCCACCACTCAAATTCACCAGTTTTTCCTTTCTCTTTCTTACCTTCCTTTCTCTTTTTCTCTTCCGTTGAGCGGGATGAGGGGAAATTAGTATCATGAATCCGCTAATTTTGTCTACTTCGGGCTACCCTCATGATACTTTGGTCAGACTTAGAAACCCCCCCCCCTCACAGAAGCCTCTTTTCACAGCCGCCGTTCACTCTTCACAAAGGCACTTGACCTTACTCAACCCAAAATGCGATCGCCTCGTTCGAAAAGTGCAAAAGTGCGGACGAATGGTAGACCTGGCCCCTGGATTAAGCATTCGTATCCCGAAGTTAGTACTGCTACCAGTGCCTGTGCACGGCTGTCTGTGTAGTGCAATGCACACATTGCACACAAGTAGTGGTCAAGTGTGGTTTGGCACGGGTGTATATACGAAGGGGGATAGCCTATCCCGGATAGGGGAGGGGCATCACGGCGTAGCCCTTCCCAGAGGTGGTCGACCTTGATCAACCCCTAAATGTGACCCCCTCGTTGGAATAGTGCGAACGACGGTCGACCCTGACTCTTGATTCGAAGGAATTCTTCCCGGGAAATTCTCTCTTTCCTTTCCAACAAGGGTATGTCAATTATCTCCTGAGACAGCATACAAAGTTTTATGAACAAAGATTTAGATCCTACGAGAAACAACTCAGAAAGCCACACTCTATGGACGGTCGAAGGTAGGTCGCGCGGCGCCAAAGGCTAGACTTTTTAGCGACCAGCATCGGAACAATCGGGTCAATGCGCGCGGAACAGGACATAGCGATCGATTGCACTACATATAATCGTGTGTTTGTTGTTGTGTGGGTGTTTGACCGGAAACCTGAAAGGCGCACGCGTTATCATTCCATTCATATCTGTTAATCCAAGTGCAAAGCGCACCACAACACGAGTTATCATATTTATTCAGCCTATTTTACATTTATCCTCTGATTTTTCTCGCTAAAACCGCTTATCATTGCGTTCCTGTCTCCTAACAAGCTCAGCTGTACACAAGGCACTTGTAAATGCTATATATAGTAGTTGGATGCACTTGGATTCTGATCGACGGTTCGTCTGGTTGACTTGGAGCGCAGATCACTGGGCATCGCAGATTAACTCGTCCAAACCCGCCACCGTAGACGTCGGAGTTCGCTCGCGCGAACGCGGCCAACGAGCGGATTGTTAGACCGTTCAACAAATCGGTGGCCTTGTCCTGAAATTCGTTTTTTTTTGCCTTATTCAAATCAATTTGTTATGTTTACAAGATTTAGAAAACTTCAACGGGTTTCAGAAGGGCTTGAAAATATGCAAATGTTCACCTCTTCTTCTGGTTCCTCATTAATATGAGTACAGTAACTGCAGCGACTGATCTTTCTGGAAGGTCGTAGTGAAGGCTGAAATATCGACTTTTGCGCGGAATTTGTTTGGGTTTGAGCGAAAATGTTCCTGGTCAGGGTTAAACCCTGGCCTTGGGAAAAAAATTCAAGAACCCAATGACCACCATCCGCCTTGGGGAGTCCCCCCAAATCGACTCACGCGAACACTGCTCTCGCCATCATGGTGTGTCTTTGAAGAAACCGATACCGATCCCCGTCGACATCTCGAATTCGCCCACTCTTCTTCTTTTGAAACCCTTTGGAAGGAGGGCGCAAGGGTAACATGTTACAAAAAAAGTAAATGCTCTACTTCGCCCAATTTGCCCATCACTTTTGAAAATGCCACCAAAATTATCAAAAAACCTCAGAAAATGACCGCCTCCCACAGCGATACGTTCCCCCTCCACCACTCATCTCCAAGACCGCCTCTGGAAATCACAGTATGATGCTCGCCCCTGCCCCCCCACCAACACAACAAACACCAAGAAGTACGGCCGCCCCCCCGTCCTCAAAAGAAAATTTTCAGGGAACACGATTCCATCTGTATGGTAAATCTGACATAGCGCTACGCGGTGACATGTGTTGACTCTGGTTCTGGTCAGGTTTTTCCAACCGCGATGGCTTACCTCCTCTTCCCGTGGTTGAACCGCCGGCTGAATCTTCGTCGTCAATCGATCAATAGAGCTTTCGAGAAGCGTGAAAGCCCCTTAAAAGAAGAAGTTGACAATTATATGTAGTGCATAAGTTTTGAGTGTAGTCTAGCAGGTGGAAACTCACCAAATACCCCATTTTCTATGCAGACATATGTGGCACGGTTGACCACCTTCATCACTGGCATTCCGAAGAAGAATAGCGCAGAAATGATTGGATGAAACTGAATGAATGATCGTCAGATTTAGGGCTGATACCTCCCACAAATCCCGTCGAGCAAACTCCGCCCTTGTCCACTCGCCATTTGGTTATTTGATTTATGCCCCGCCCCTTTTGCTTGATCTTGCGAAACGTCTAAGCTGAACACTGTCTTTTCCTACTTGCCTTTTTAAAGCCATATACATTCCCACAAAAGCCCTATGAAATCGGCATCGCTGCGATGTAGTCAGGGCATAAAGGACACAAGGATCTCAAGATTAAATCGACACTTCTCAGTAAAGTTTAGTGAATGGGTCGCTTTATGAGTGACATTGGACCCTCCGAGAGAGAAGAGATTATGCTATTCCTGTTCGGCGAACAAGGGTGCAAGAGGTTTCTTATATGGCTACGGCTACAGCTGTTACTCGCAACATAGGCGATAGGATGTCTGCGTCTCGCACTTCCCTTATACTCTCTCATTTCACCCACTCTCCTCGGCGTCCACAATCACTTTATCGCAGCACTGCCCATCTCTCGGAAATTAGCTCTTCTATTTTGGTCTTCGGTTTTTTCCTCCCCATCTCGTCTCAACTTCAACTCTTAGAACATAACTTTTAATCACGTCATCAATCTTTCAATCACGAATTTTGTACGAAAGGCATTCTTAGCAGGATTGTAAGCTCTTACCGTAGCGTTGTTAGGCATGATATCACCCAAGCCAATTGTCGAAATAGATATGTAGGAGAAATAGAAGGTATTAAAGAACGATAGACCAGAATGTGGCAAATAACCCATCCACT